CAAACCCTGCACATTTAGGTTCTTCTTTCAAGCTGAAAACACTCTCTCTAGAATTATTTGGATGATTTAAGGAATTTCCAATCTCTACTGAACAAAAGGTGAAAGACAGCACTTGACTTGAACTACCACTACATGACATCGCAAGGTGGAAGAGGGCATTTTGAGCTCTGAAGATGTAGACAGAGTAATAATGAAATGTTACTCAGGCATGTGTGAATGAAACAAAACACAACTCCAGGTATATGTTATTTGGTTATTTTTTCAGGCCAAGAGTTTATTTTCCATACCTTTTCGACTGCTCACTAACTGTCATCACGTGACCACTCTGAAGAAGACCGCTAGTGAGCAGTCGAAACTGTCAGATATGAAAATAAACTCTTGGTCTGAAAAAAGAACCTAATAACATAAATTAACGAAAGACCAAATGAACCTCATTGGACAACTCCAGGTATATTTTGATGACATTATAAGATTATAGTATGGCTAAAAGTTTGCAAGACTCAATTTGCATAATGGTTCACTCCATAAAATTTTATTGGATTCCTGCTTGTCTCCATTGAGATGTCACAGCTTTGTTTGGAATGTTCCACAGTATGGAATTTAACTTGAAAATGATGCATCCCTAGCCTAATTCATCAGACGGTTTCACTTCCTAGAAACCGTCTGACCTTGCAGTGTTAGGATTTGTTCGCTCGATGGTAGGCGGTACTTTTTTATTTAACCAATCACTGCTATTTGGTTGTGACGTATGTAATATGCCGCGAACAGCACTAACTGGTATATTAACTTTTTCCCAAATCCTGTAGGAAGAAAGGCAATAACGTCTTTCCTCTTGAAAAAATTCACCAAACATTCTCTTTGTTCCAGCTTTAAATCCTTGATCTCTGAAATCATTTGCAACACAGAATGTACGGCTTCGTTTACATCCATCTTGACCGCCTTGTTTATTGTTGTGCTGTACCACAAAAAGGGCCTCCTCATGGTTTCACAGCTCTTCGCTGATTGGTCAGTGCACAGTCTACAACTTCCGGGTTCTTGCAAACTGTCTAGTGTATTCGATTTTTGACCTAGTCGCTGTAGAGAAATGAAATTGAGCGGAGGCACTAGGTGGCGCCAGCCTGCATTCCTACTATGAGTGAGGTAGCATCTTTTGGTCTGGCAGTGCCACCTGTTTAATGCCATACTGTGGAACTTTCCAGGCAGGGTAATAACATCTCCACGGGGACAAGAATATGACAAACCTGCACTGCTTAAAAGTTACATAGTGCGTCTTTAAATGAGTATATTGTCAGTGAATATGATGAACGCTTTTCAAATGTATAAAACCACAAAAAACTGCAGGGTAATACTGGGGTAGACTGATTGAGGCAATGGGCTCTATAACCACAAATTACTCACAGACAAACCACACTCATACTAGACAAGGTGGTTGAAGTGTCTTGCCAAAGGACACAATAACAGTGTGCACCGGTCACAGCTGGAATCAAAATGCGAACACAAGGTTGTAGGGCAAACAGTCTAACCACTGAGCTACTGCCTGAGTGCTAATCCTAAACCATTATGTACTGAGGCATGCTAATCAAGGCCAAACAATGCACACCACTATCTTTAGAAAATGTCTGACACGCAATTTTATATTATAGTGTCCAGCTCCTGCTTGTCTCCATGGAAGTGTTATTGTTATGCCTTAAACATTCCAGGGTATGGCATTAACTGAGCTACTGCTTCTTTGATCAGACCTTGATTGCTGTCGTCTTAAACCGATTGTCCACTGAGCTGTGTTAATTGGATTACAATGCCATGCCAATGCTCCGAGACAATGACATACATGCAATAGAGGTCCCACCACCTGCGTGTCTCACAGGTTATGTTGTTATGCCAGGAAAGTTTCACAATATGGCATTAATCATATTTAGTTTTTATTCAAATACAGGTGTTTAAATTGTTTGTTTTTGTTGTTGTCTTTCCTCTGATGTGACCTGTACAACACTTGGTTGTCTTCAAGGAGATAATTTATTTGAATTTGAATGCCTTACTGTGGAACATTCTAGATTTTAATGTTTGAGGTTACGTTTATATGATGACGATCTGAACAGAAGAGGCAAAAGTGGCGTTGCGTCTTCAGTTTTATTCCACGTTTAGATGAGCGTTTTTTGGAGGAAATTTTCGTGCATACGGTGATGCAAAAGTGTGTGGAATTCGATTGGGTATGAATGCCAGGTTTCTGTGTACTGTATGTGTGACATAAATGCGTATGCGACGTGAGCAGATCTGACCAGAGTTTTGCGTCTTGGGCAGTGTAGACGGAAATGCTACGATGGAGCGTATTCAACTTCTCCACTCTGTAGGGTGGTTTCAGATGTTTGTGTTTTTAAGCCCCACAAACGCCGTCATCATCTAAACGAAAGACACTTCTGATAAAATATTTTGTCGTTTTTACCCACTCATATAAACAGGAACATTATATCTCCATGGAGACTAGTGATGGGACTTTTGCCTCTTTTATAGGATCCGAATCTTTTGGACGCATTCATGTCAAAGAGATGTTCAGAAGACTGTCTCTTTTATATTTATATGACAGAAGCCAATGTGAAAACTCAGATTATCTACAAAATAATCACAGAGAGAAATGGCCAAGGCTCAAGTCTGTTTAAAATGGTTCCAATTGAAACTGGGGGTGTAATTACCCTTAACTACAATATAAAAAATAACAGTTATTAAAATGCCAAATATATATTTTTTGAGCAAAATAACTCAATTGTGTTGCCTGCTCCACTTGTGTGCTGATACATGTGTTAGTTCTGTATAAAAATACATAGAAATTAGAAAGAAAAAAAATGTGGTTCTTTTAAAAAATGAGGTCCAATTCCAAACATTCACTTTACCGACTAGTTCACGAACGTCACATCACTAATAGAGACAAGAAGGTGGCCGACCCTGCACCAGAAATGTCATTGTGCACCTTTAAAAACAACTTAATAACATGGAAATTCAGAGTGACCACTTCTAATAGAATTTTTTGTTAAAATTTTTTTATCTGTTATTTGGAAATTGGTAACCTTCTAAAACCTCTAACTGCTTTCACCATAATAACCTTAAATGCTTTAGAGGGCAAAATCCAACAGCCAAACTTTCACTTATCCACTTTAAGCACAAGTATGAAATGACCCAAAATTGCCCATTCAGAATCTGGTGACTTCATCTGACCTTCACAGAAAAGGCCTGTAATAACTCAGGTAAAAGGGCTGAAGCTTTTATGTTTCAAAACACCAAATCAGCCTCCGGGAGAGAAGAAAACCATAGAAAACATTTAACAGTAGGAAAGAAAAGTCAACATGGTAACATTAAATACAAGGAAAGGATGAATAACAACTCACTTCTTTTCCTTTGAGAATATTTTCTTGATCTTGGGGAGGTTTTAAAGTTTTATTTATTAATTATTAATTTATTTGCTTATTTTGTACAAAAAGTTATCTATTTACTAACCAGTATTTGCCTCAAAACAAAGAGGAGGGAGGAGACATCCAGGGAATGCAAGGCAAAACTCATCCAGCAGAGGGCAGTATTCAAACAGCTGTAAACTATAACTGTAAAACCACAGCTGGTATAGTTTGGTACAGTTATAAATAATTAGTCAAAACTAACAATGAAAAGAATTGATTTTTAGAGGGAAAAGCAACTGAAGAGTGAATGATTGTGCTGAGACTCTGGACCTTCTTGTAACTGTTCAAATAATTTTGTTTTTTGTTTGTTGTGCAAACATCCAAGTGTTAAAAAAAAGTATTTTCTAAAACTTGGCTAAAAAAAAAAAAAAATCTATATACAATATTTACTGCACAAAATCAATCGTATAACTACCCAAATCATTCAGCTCCCCCCCACACTTTCTTCTCATGTCCACACGATGTCACTGTTCAGATCATAAACTCAAATGGAAATTAAAGCCAAACCGACAGCTCCTCCACCAGAGAAATTACAGAGTACCTTTAAAATTGGATAATGTGACAGATTCTAGACAAACTCTAGAAACTAGGCCACAGGTCACATGATTTTTATGGTCAAGAGCACTGTCAGACTAAGATGATGCATGAAAAAAAAAAAAAGTTACATATAGTGCGCATTTAAAATTCTAAAAAGAAGTATAAAAACTAGAGAGTAGGTCTCTTTGACTTTTATAATCAGGAGCACATTAATGAATGTTCTGCAAATTTTCACGAATTAATGTCAAAGTAATTTTTTTTTCTTTGCATACTAGCAACTAAGCATTCCTATAGGTGGAGCTGCAGTACTGATAGTTGTGTTTGACATACCAATGGAATCTGGGTCATGCAGTGTATAACTGATAGAAATTTCAGCACGATCGGACTAAGTATGTGCGTGTAAGATATTTTAAACTATTTTTTGGAGTCATTTCAGCCCCTGCTGGACAACCGTGAAAAATGTGGCCGGGAGAGGTTATCAAAGAAACAGGAAATGAAGGCGTTATTTGCTGGCGTGCAACAGACAAACTTATTGGTCCCCACTCCCATTCTAGGTGGCGCTGTTGAGTCGGATCGCTTCAGACATTGTTGCAATTAACTTCGTTAATGACTAGAGTCAATAAAAAGAACCCCACAAAGAATAATTATTACAAACATGTAAAAGCCTTATGACTCCTGTCCACAGTCTTTGCTCCTGTCTGAATCTAAAACGCACATAAATGGTTTACAGAGAGCGCCCTCTAGTGGAAAAGGCTGTTATGCACAGCAGGTAAACACTTATCAGCAAGATTCGAGATTCAAAAGTATCTTTTGTGTACTTCAGTGCAGGTGTTACTGCCTTCAAGTAAAACAGAGTGACTATAACAAGTCAACATCACCAGGCTTTGCCCAACATGCTGAGCAGTTTATGTGAAACTAAAATCCTAAGTACCTGGTGGCTCCCATACACTCTGGTTAACCTAGCACACATACCACGCAAATTGCATGATCAAAAACAGCTAATTGAATAAAGTGACTCACCATGCTGTCTTCAGGTCGCTCTCGTGTCTCCTTTATACGAAATTCTTAACGTCCAGATTCACTGTTTTATCCTGACATGTCCATAGACATGTCCACAGACATGTCCAAACATGTAAAGTGGTGACAAATTTACAGTCCTCTTTGAAAAACGATCTTTCTCTGGGGCTCTTGCTCCATTGTCCAGTACTTTAGATAAACTTTACTTCTCTACCTTTAAATCTAACTTGTAAAACAGTCATTCAAATGTGCCTCCTCTTCACCAACGCAAGGTGGGCCTGTGACTCTCGCACCGCTGCCCACACGATGCCCTACTCAAAAATAAATATTGGCAACAAATATATAACTTATGTAAATACAACTAATTTAATTTATTTATATAGATACTTAAATGTCTTAAAACCTGAGCGACATATAGAAAAAAAGAACAACAAAAAAACTTAGCAATAGGTATATATATTTTTTTTCAATATAAATGTATGGGCTCTTGGGGGCCCTCTGGTGGCCTCGGGACCATAAGCAACTGCTTAGTCCGTTTATAGGCCGGGCTTGCACGCAAAGCTCCTATGGTTCAATTACTGAGGTCTGTGGAGTAGGCTGCTCCAGCTCATGTCCCACTAGTGTTTTGGATCCACTAAAACACAAGGTTCTTCTCTGGAGCCCAGACTGCACATGAGGCGCGGAGTCTCAGTGGAGCTTTCCTGGTTAAACAAAGGGCAGACAGCAGGGAATGAACCAGAGAACTGTGTTTCTATGAGACACAAAGGAAACAGAGATAAACAGTGCACCTTTTACTTTCCTCTTACCATTCACAGAGACACTAGAGTCACTGTTGTTTTAGTTTATTGTTTTTATTTTAACAGGGACCATATGCAAACACATTCATTTCATGTAAGAAGAGATGCTTTACACCAGATTTAGTTAAAGCTATTTTCCATCTGCAATCTGCAGCCCTCGGGCAGGTCTTTTGTCCTCATATCACAGTTTGTGTTATGTCTGATGTCAGTAGCACTAACAGAGGCTTCAGTTGAAAAAAAAAAAAAAAAAAAAAAAAAGGTTGTCTTTGAGGTTCAAACAACATGCTCAAAGACCAGTCTAAACATTCCCAGACTGTGAGTTTCAAATAGTTGTGCTGATTTTGCAGGGGACTTTCTGCACCTCCCTCTGTACATCCCCGTCCAGTGGTCACAGAAATGAGCCTTGAATGTCAAACAACATATGGCCATTAGTGTGTGCTGTTGTTCTGTATGTGCTGCCCCATGGTAAAAATAGACCAGGACCAGATGCTAGCTCCCATTACATTGTATGGGAAGCTGACCTACAAATGCACTGCCAGATAACTTACCACCTCACTTTCAGTTTGCTCGAAAGCACTTTTGTTTTTCTATCTCAGAGTGACTCATCCTCTTCATGATCAAATCTGAGCATCGTCTTTCCAATAAAGAGATGGGCGGAGGTCAGCTCCGGAGCATCAGCTGAGAGGAGAGAGGCTGAGGAGAGATGTGATTGGCTAGCCCAGAGTCGGAAGAGTGCTTTAGATCAACACTTTGAGAGAAGACTGTTGGATTCTGGGAAACAAAGTCACAACTGGCAGGCTGCAAAACACCTTACATAATCACCCTAGTTTTTTCCTGCTCCCGCCTCCTTTACGATAGAAATCATTAGAACAATTCGCCAGAAGCTATCATAATAATGGTGCTTCCGGGAAGAGAGAACATCCATTTTTCCTCATAGACAACAGTGTTTCCCAATCAGAGGTGCAGGGATATGATAGCATTTCCAGGATTTATTATTTGCAGTCTTTTTGTTTTGATGCACTGACTGAAAAGTGCCTTGAGTGTGCATGTCCCAAACCATTTTCTGTTTATTAGAATGATTCAAGAAAGTCATCTACTACACTGATCTATGTAACCCCCTGCTTTTCCATGGAGATGTGGTTGTTTTGCTTGGAAATTTCAAAGTATGACATTTAACTTCTCTAGTTCCATGGAGACAAGCAGGTGGTGGACCTCTCACCAAAAACTTACATAGTGCACTGTTAATTTAAATTAGGATAAGTGGCTATACCAATTTGCCATAACACACTAACATAAAATTAAACATATGGGTTACTTAATCTATATTTGTTTATCTATATATGTATGTATGTATGTATGTATGTATGTATTATTATTATTATTACTATTAGTAGTAGTAGTAGTAGTAGTAGTAGTTGTAGTTGTAGTAGTAGTAGTAGTAGTAGTAGTAGTAGTAATAGTATTAACATTGGAGAATTTGCAACAAAAACTCCTATACAGTAACTATTGCAGTTGATAAATAAATAAAACTAAATATTAATGTAATAAATTTTACACAATTTTACTATTATTAACAAAACTTTTCTGCAAATTGTGCTTCAATTTATAACTTTTACTATTGCTTACATATTGCAGTAATTAGCAGTGATGTTAAAAACAATTGTTAATGTTAATGTTTTGATCTGTGGTGCTGGTGTTCTTCCACTAGAGGGCAGCACAGTCTTTCTTTAAAAACGACGACAAAGCACCAGGACGTGCAAATCTACAGAAATGTCTGTCTCTACTGTTGCTGTGACATGAAACTGGCCTTTGTCTGGTTAACAAGACAATGGTTTTGGGGACTGTCAGAAGCATTGAGACTTTAAAAAAAAAAAAATTAATCCAATAATAGTGTGTAAAAGCAGCATCAAATAACACTAAGCAAACACACGTCTTTTGAATAAATCATGTTAATCTACAACGAGATTATGTTGACCCTGACTTCAAAGCAGATCAAAATGGTTTATCTGTGGCTAAAGATAAAATCAGGGAAACTATTTGTGTTCCATAGAAGTGGGATAGTCACAGCCCCAGCACCACTAATATGTGACTCTTACTCAACTCTCTCCAGCCTCTCACAAATATGTTTTCATCATGTTTACACTGGAGACTATTCATCAGGACAGGATCAAAACATGACCTATTTGTGTCAATATTACCAGATAGCATTTCATAGTTAAAGGTAAACTGTGTATCCTTTCTGGTGGAGGATCTGCCACATATATAAAACTGTGAGCGGATTCGCCTCTCCCTAGATCTGACCTGTAACTTGACCTGTTGGCGCTACTAGCTTCTCTCCATGGACATACGTTTACTGTGGGCCAAAACAACATCATCTCCATGGAGACAAGCACATGGTAAACCCTCCACTACATTAGAAAAGTTGCACAGTGTAGCTTTAAGACCTGCAGTGTTGACTGAGATCCTTTTCAGATCGATTAACTCTAGCACACCAGTGATAGTGTTCGTCTTACTGGTAAATACAGAAGTTTGGCAAGTCGTAACCAGCTCTATCCAGTTCAGAGTACTGATGTGTCCTTGGGCAAGACACCACCTTGTTTGTGTGATTGTGTAGTATAATAGTATAAGTAAAAGGTACTGGAAAAGCTGCTTGAATAAACTACAAAGCTTACAAAAACTATGCGTAAAGTGAAATTTGAATGTCTAATTAAAAACCTGTTATATAATGTATTTAGTTTAGTTTTTTTCTTCTTTTTTTTTTTTCATTTGTGAAGCCCTTTTGCAGCACATGACTGGAGCGTCTCTGTACTCACATGGTGTCACCTGACCAAGTGAAGGCCATAACCGGGAGTACAGTATTTGAAGTAGCTGCTCTGACCCTCTTCTGTCATGTGGTGTAGGAATGCTAGGACACACTTTGCCATGACATCACTATCTATGACTATTTAGAGTTGTTACTGTGTGCAACCATCTAAAGACAAAGCAAAAGTTAGAACAAAAGTGCACTGTGTAACTTTTTGGATGGCGTCTGCAACCTGTTTGAGATGTTAAAGTTTTAGGTTAAATTGTAAACTAATCTGTTTTGCATTTATTGAATTACTGGTGTTATTTATTGCTCAAAAATATCTTCAAAAACATCAATTTTTGCATCTTCACAAAACAAACCTATAACTTTCAAGTCCCCATGGTGATTTATAAGTTTCTTTTATAAGAACTTTCTAGGCTGACAGACCCTCCGCAGTGCAACTTTAAAATGGAATGGAATGGTGGTGTTTTGTGGATGTTTGTGTGCTCCCTTGGGTGCAGCCCCGGCCCAAACGGGGTCTTACATAATAGATCATGTAAGCTGTTTTCACTGGTGAGCGGGCGATATCACCTCTCATCTGAAGGGCACCTCCTGTACACAGTGTCCTGGGCACTAACTCTTCTACAACTTTCCTCTGCGTCTCCTCCAAGTCTGCCTTCCTATGTTTACACTGCAGAAAACAAAATGCACGAAGGTTTTCTCTGTAGTTTGATGCAGTTTGTTTAAAGTTTAGTACATTTGGTTAAGGTCAGTTTTCATTTTTTGCATGGTTCAGTTGTAAAAATGATCTTAATCATACAGTTATAAGGTACTAGGGCTGGATGTCATTAAGAAGTTGCCTACCTCGATACATAGCCCACGATACGATACATATCTCGATACAGTGCACTTTTGGTACGATACGGTATATTTCAAATCAATTCAATACAGTTCAATAAAAAATAAAGGCTAAATGATGCCTGTGATACTAAAAGTCTTTGTTAAACCGCTTCTTTTGCAAAGTGAATATGAAATACACCCATTTTAATCATCAAAACAGTGAAAATGTCAAATGTGTTGCATGAAAAGGTGTTGCAGCAAAACTATAGCTCTGTCACAAAATAATTTAGTAAAATATACCAAAAAATACTCTTGACGATATATCGATATAGCAGTCCCCGATATCAATACTGTATCATCATATTGAACAATACCATGTATATAAATATTTCGATATGTTTGCACAATCCTATAAGGCACACCATATAACTTTTTTCTGGTGAAGTAGTCTGCTCCCTCCATGTCTCTACTGATACTTTGCAGCTGATGTTCTCAAAATTCCCTGGGGTGTGATGTTAACTGTAGGCACTGTTCTGTCTAAGGCTTTATTCGATGTTAATCTGAGCTTTATTTTAACACAATCTCACCATAAAGACCTGATTAAGCTGGAACTACAAGTGAGCTGATTAATGCTGTTAAACAAGTCTCTCACAAATTACTGTCACAATATGAGTTTTTCCAGTTACTCACACTTACAATTTCTGTTGAAAATGGAACACCTAAACAGGACCATGAACATCTTGATCATCTTGATCACAGGCTCCTAAAAATGTGTTTAAATCAATTTTGTGTTTTTTCTTGAGTTTTCAGACAATCTTAAAACTTTTTTTCACATTGTTTGCTAATGTGTTCATTGT